TTATCTCTTGAACTCAATCCCTTTTTCACTCTAAGATTATATCAAGAATTTAGATCTAGAAGGATTCTTCTTAGTTTCTTGTTCTTGGATTCGTAATAGAAAGTCCTACCCTAATTCTAATCCTATCTCCTTTGCGAATTGGGCTTCAGCCAGGCTTTTCTACGATTTGGGCTTCAGCTGCGGATTGGGCCTTCCTACGAAATTTCTCCAACTTCGGGCCCGGATTTGACTTCGATTCAGGCCGAATCTGAGAAAGCCCAAAACATGAAAGTTGTGGATTTTTCTCTTATCTTTCCAGTGGATCTTGAATCAGCCCATTCGGAGTTCGGAGACGCGAGTTAGGCCCATATCACTGAACGATGTTGAAATTGTGAAAAAATCATCCGATTTGTCTTTCTTTGCTCTTGATGCCTTTTATCATACCCTGAACCAAAATACAAGAGATATGAGTCCAATTAGATGCTAATTTAGTATAAAAGACAGAATAATTGGGGATAAAAATATAATAAATTGTACTTTCATCACTTCATGCACCGCATTCAAGATTTTCGAGAAGTTGTCTAAGTGGTCCGAGATTCCCTAAGGCAATTGCCATGCATGTTGACCACCCTCCGGATCGTTCGGCACGTGGGCCAACTTCCAAGGATCGTGGGAGTGTTAGGATATGCATGCCGAATTTGTCGGTGAGCACGTCTCACAGGTCGCCAAGTCGGCGCCTGTGCCAGGCCACCAGGTTGCGCCAGGGCCAGGCCACCAAGTCGCACTTGGGCCAGGCCGCCAGTTCGCGCCTGGGCCAGGCCGCTAGGTCGGCGCCCGTGCCAGGCCGCCAATTCGCTCCTGGGCCAAGCCGCCAGTTCGTGCCTGGGCCAGGCCGCCAGGTTGTGCTTGTTCCAGGCCGCCAGTTGACGCTTGGGCCAGGCTGCCAGGTCGGCGCCTGTGCCAGGCTACTAGGTCGGTGCCTGTGCCAGGTGATAGCTATAAATATATAACCCTAGCAAGTGCACTAGTTATCAAGTAGTATAAAAATATCGTTCTCACGAGGATTTAACAAAATAAGTATTAGAACTACAGCCTTCCCTAATTATCTGGACAATCGAATTTCAAATTTTAGAATAAGAACTAATGAAAAAATAGAAACAGGAAAACAAGAACAGAAGTAACAATGCTGAAGTATGTAACGATTGGTTGAATTCGCTAGGGTTTTCGGTCCACCTAACCATTCCAATGAATATTAATGGATGAGATTATCCAAATTAATTTGTCATTCCCATAAGCTGAAGTCTTTCTAATTTTATTTAATATTCTCTCTCGAGATATACTAAAACTACTTCTATCAAGTAACCCCTCGATCTCTCGACTAGAGTTCTCAAGATAGAAGCGCATTAGGTCCAAGGAAAAACTATTATATTCAGATTAATCATGTGTAAATACCCCTATATACCATTCAATTCACACCATKWMTTATGTGKTCAGYTATGYGAATTCCYCTCTCGATTCATTCACATACGCCTGATCAATTAAGAGATGGTCACTCCTAATAGCATTAAGCAAGATAATTCATAGACTACATGGAAATCACGATCTTGAATAAACTAGAATAAAAATATATTCATTGATATGATTAGGCTTTCCACAACCCTAACTATAGATAAATTAGTTCATACTAGCAGAAATAAAACAAACAAGAGGAAAGAAAGAACTCATGGTTTCGCCCTTGGAGTTGAGATCTCCTCTTCTCCTTGCTGCCACCTCCTTCTTGCAAACTTCTTGCTTGATAGATGGATTGCTCCTCTGCTTCTTGATGCCTCTCTAGTCCACTCCCTACCCCTTTATATAGCTTAAGGGGAGGGGGTGGTCTCCTACTCTTTCTTGAAGTTAATCTCTCAAAAATAGAAAGTCCTAGTCTAATCCTACTCTTATCTCTTTATCTAATGAACTCAATCTTTTTATCTTTATGGGATTACATCATAAATTTAGATCTGATAAGACTCTTCTCAATTTCTTGTTCTTGGATTCGTGTTAGACCTCCTCTGCGAATTGGGCTGCTGCCAGGCTTTTCTACAAGTTGGGCTTAAGCTGCGGATTGGGCCTTCCTACGAATTTGCCCCGACTTCGGTCCCGGATGTGACTTCGATGCAGGCAGAATCTGCGAAATCCCAAAACATAAAAGTTGTGTTTCTTTGCTCCTGATTACTGAACGGTGACAAAACTGTGAAAAATCATCCGATTTGCCTTTCTTTGCTCCTGATGCCTTCTTTCATGCCTTGAACCGAAATACAAGAAATATGAGTCCAATTAAGTACTAATTAAGTATGCAAGACAGAATATTTGGGGATAAAAATGTGATAAATTCTACTCTCATCACCTGGCTGCCAGTTCGGCGGCTTGGCGCCTGTGCCAGGCCGCTAGTTCGCGCCTAGGCCAGGCCGCCAGTTCGCGCTTGGGCTAGGCCGCTAGGTCGGCGCCTGTGCCAGGCCAGCAGGTTGCGCAAGGGTCAGGTCGCCAGTTCAGCACTTGTGCCAGGTCGTCAGGTCGCACCCAAGTTAGGCCGCTAGTTCGCGCCTGTGCCAGGCTGCCAGGTGGGACCCCGTCAACTTGGCTAAGGCAAGTTGTTGCCTAAGTGGTTCCAGGTGTCACCTAATTGTTCCGAGGTGCCATGCGTCACAATATCATTGGAGGGCCAAATCCACCCTCATCATTTGGTCCAATCCAATTAAGCGTGCAATCCTATTTCAAAGGTTTCTAGGGAAGCGGAAACCCAAATAACAGAGAAAGAAGAAAAGAAAGAGGGTGGTGGAGAGAAAGAGAAAGGAGGGAAGGGAGGAGGCAGAGGAACGGGAGAAGGGGAGAAGGGGAGAAGGAAAAGAAAGAAGAAGGTGAAGAAGCGAAACTGGGGACTGAAGAGGAGACGAAAGTGGAGGTAAAGAAGAACGAATTTTACTACTACTACGCCCACCATCCCAAATATGTATACCCTCCTCAGATCTTCAGCGACGAACGTATGCTCCCGTCTTCACGCCCTCCTTCTCCAGTTCTTGTACGGGTGTCTAAATTTCACTTGTAAAAGAACGGGTGTCTAATTCCGTTCTTGACACAGGAACGATGCTCCCGTTTTCGTGCCCTTTTCTTGCAGTACAACTTATTCTCCGGTCATCTTCCGCCGGAGTTCTCAATGTAGCTCAGATCTGGTTTCTCTCCTTTCCTCTCCTCCACTACTCAATTTCTCTCTTCTTTTCTTCAGCCTTCGACGACGCAATCCTACGCTTGGACCCGCTGTTAGGCCCCTTAGGCTCTCGCTTGAGTAAAGGTAATCAACGTGAGACAATTCCAGTTGGCAAAGAACACACAATAGGCTCTCGCTTTCTGGTCATTTCACCGTTGTACTCATCGTCAGTGTCGTCACCTCTGTTCAGTATGTTGATAATTTGCATCTCTTGCTCCTGCTTTCTTCAAAAGCAAAATCTCAGCTGTCGACGAGACCTCCTGCACTACTCTTTAGACCGGAAAGGATAGAACCTTGAATGAATTTAAAAGAAAGAAAAACAGAAAAAAAATAGTCGAGCTAAAGCATGGAAGAATTCAGATTCGCAAGAACGAAGCCAACATGTCTGTCCTGATATTTTAATATTCACACTCATGTGTGATGGAACGAACATTTAGGGTTAAAAAGTAAAATGGATCAATCATAATAAAGGGTAAAATAGTAAATTAGCGATGCCTGCTTAATCGTTATATAAGATGATGAGTTTTGGATGTAAGAAAATTCATAAAAAGTGATGGTGGGTAGGGGTGTAAATGGATCCAAATTGAATTGGATCAGGCAATATCTAAATTCGAATATGATTAGAAAATCTGATATACGACACAGATATTGAAAATTAATATTAGAATTGGAATCTAATTAAATATCTGAATATTTGATTTTATTCAATTTGATTAATTAATTATTTTAGATAATTAATAAATACTTAAAATAATTATTTTGTTGATATAAAATATATAAATTATTTATATAACTTAATTATTATATATAAATTATATAAAATATTTTATATATTATATATAAGAATTAAATAGTCGGTCGAATTCGGATATTTATCAAATCAAATCAGGTCATATCTAAATTCGAATTCGATTAATAATCGGTCGGATTCAAATTCGGTAAGAATAAAATATTCGAATTTGACCAATTAGATATTAGAATTATCCAATTTGATACGATTATATTAATATGAAATTCGAAATCGAATTTTCGAATACGGTTGATACCCTAGGATTTTGGACAATTACCCCAAAAAGAAAAATAAATGACAAAAGAGGTAAAGACATTCAGTTCAGCATTTCAGCCGTTATCAAATGGCAGTTAATATTTGGATTCTGGACTTCGGGGTTTTTTTTTGTCGTCCAAATAAAAGCGAAGGGTTTTTTTTTTTTTGTGTCGTCGTTGGAGAAACAGGAGCAGAGAAATTATGGCGAGGTCGACATCCAAGGATACTCAAGCCCTCTTCCAGTCTCTTCGTTCGGCCTACGCCGCTACACCCACAAATCTCAAGGTCTCTGTGTGCATGGGTGTGTTTGTGCGTGTAAGAAAATTTACTTCGAAGATCTAACCTAATTCCTCTTTACAGATAATCGATCTCTACGTGACTTTTGCGATTTTCACAGCGTTGATTCAGGTATTCGTATTCTGTACATAGGCGGTTGATCTGAAAAATGATATTTCCAGTTAATCAGAAGTGATAATCTCTGTTTCGGTTGATTTTGTAGAGTATGTTCTCTTCCTATTATTTTTGAATTGCGAGTGTGTTTATACTCGGTATGCCTAATTCTAGATCAACAAAATTCTTTAAACTCTCTTTAACACACAATTCTTAGTTGTGCTAAAACACTTTTTTTTGCTTCTTTTTCCATGAAGTTCTGGTAATTATGCGATTATAGGGGAAGGAGAAGAGAATGAGTTTAATGCAGCCCACTCGAACCTGAAGTATAGTAATTGAGATTTCATATTACATTTTGTTTTTGCTAAATCTTGGAAATACTATTTATTTTCCTGTTTTATTTTGTTAATTAGCTTCAGCCATAGGGTTTGGGGTATTAAATGAGATGTAATAGGATAATATGAGTGTTATCTTTGGTCAGACCCAATCTGGAGGCCTGACAACAAGTTGATGAATAATTAGTAACGTTATACATTTATGTTGTCCAATGATTATTTGCATTGAAATTTCAAGGGTTTTGATGAGTCTGTCGGTCTTCCTTCATGCCCATAACTGCGGCGTCAATAAATGTTCATTCGGAATCAAAGTTTGCCCGGTCTCCAAGTCTTAGCTAGGGCTTCCGAAGTTAGAATACATATACAAAGTTGACTTTGAAGGGTAATGTATAAACAAAAATAAAAGGTGATGTAAATATAAATAAAACAATACACATGCATATAGCGCTCAAACACATATGAGTGAAGACTAGAGGTTTCATTAACAATTACTAATATCCATCACCACTCAAGGTTTCAAGCTTCTAATATTATCAATGCTGGTAGCAGTAAATTTCTTCTATATCTTCAGGGGGAATCCCTTTTCTGGCAATCACATTTGAGAGGTACCTTTTTCTAGATCTTCAAATGTGAGAATGTGGGTTGAAGTCTGGGAGTGGCCACTTTATCTGAAAATGCATTTAGATCTTATTTCCAATCCACCATCAAGGTTTCATAATTGATGATTCTAATATTGTCAATGCTGGTAGCAATAAATTTCGTCTAGGCCTTCAAGGGGAGTGCCTTTTCTGGTGATCACATTGGAGATGCACCTTTTTCTAGATCTTCAAATGTTGGAATGTGGGTTTGAGCCCGAGAGTGGCCACTTTGTGTGAAAATGCATTTACGTCTTGTTTCCAGTCGACCCCTCCCAAAACTCCAGACAGTTGGGACCAACATTGGGTGATGCCATGATGGCAGTGTTTTTCTCCATTCAGCATAAGGATTAATTAAAAGTAAACAGCAGATTAACGGAGACATGGGCTTTTAACTTGTTGGAAGTCATGCCTTAAAGACAAAAATGGATGATATTTAGTTTAAAATTATAATGGGAGTGTAGTATAGGCTGACGTTGAGTCAATGCTTCTGCATAGGTTATGGATGATTTACCAGGCATTTATTGGGGGCATGGTGTTCCATTATGTATGTTTCTGCTGATGGCATTCTTGATTGACAAAATTTAGGGTGCATGCAACTTGTTGTGGAAAAATGCATTAGATTCAAGAAGAATGGGATTAATGTACAATGTCTGGAGTGCAGTTTTAATTAAAAGTGAGACAAAAGCCAGCCATGCTTTAAGCTCTAAAGGGCACAACAAGGAAGATAACCTAGTCCAGCCAACACTGAATAGTTTTTGTTGCTATTCTAAATTAGTCTGTTTGACCAATAAACTCTGTTTATTGAATATGATCCTTTTTTCCCATAAACTAAGTCCTAAATTTTAACCTTTTATCAGGCACCAAACTTCTTTATGTAATCAATACTCATTAGCTAGATTTAGAGCCGTCACTGGGTTGGTTCTGGTCTGGGACAGAGTGGAACTGGTTCCGACCAAATTATAACCGGGACACAAAATTCAGAACCAGAACTGGTATAATTGTTTTGGTTCTATCAGGTGGACCTGATGCATTGACAGCTCTAGCTAGATCTAGTATTTAGAGGTGTGAATGTATGGCGACTAGTCCTTATTATCGATATGGGGGCTTGTTATCCATCCAAAAAAAATGTGGAGCTTGTACAACTTGGGTAATGGGTTCCATGTTTGTATTGTGATGTGTATGTATCAGATGTGCAACTTGGGCATGCCTGGATTAAGCAATAGTTAAATCTTGAACGGGAAGGGTCCTGAATGGAAATTCTTTAAATCAGATACAGATTCACACCATTAGTATGTATGTGGGTATGACTGATGTCTGTCTTGCATTTCTTTTGTTTATTCATTTCATATTAATGCAGTTATGCTGATTTGCTGATTGACCAGAGAGAGAGAGAGAAAGGGAGGGAGGGAAGGCATTTCAGTAACTTTCCATCTACTCATTCACTGAATATGATGTGTGGACACTGGGGTGATTATTTTACCCATAAATAATAGCCCTGGATTTAAGCTGTTTTAAGTTTGGAATCTTTTCCACATTTCACTTACATGACCTATTTCAACTGTTATCAAACACTACCTTATCATTTTTATCATTTGACACCTATAGACTTAGCCTGGACCTTGCAGCTTAAACTTCAGGGTCCTAATTACGTCCTCATCCAAGCCTTGTCTGAACTATATGGGATCAGCTACCTGAATTCTGTTTTGCCATTCTGTTAAAGTGTCATATTGATTATTAAATAATGAGTGCTTAAATTATTTCTTGCCCATGTCCTTTTGGGTCTGCCCCTAGCTCTTCTAGTCCCTTCAACTTGTAACAGAGGAGGGTAACAAACCTTCTATTTCTTCCATGTTTTACAACCAAGGCACATGGGTTAAAGAGCTCTTCCTACATAATAGAGATGATTCAAGTTGTGACTCAGTAAAGAGGCTTCACATATAAGTTCTGAATCTCAATCAAATTTGATTCCTTGGTTAGAGAATTGGCCACAGTTTATCACTTCATTTCTAGAACTTTGAGAGGCTGAAATCCCATATTGTGATGCACCACACTAGCCATTTGGTAGGTATGGATCTTAACATGTATTGGATGTATCATGCGAGGCATTTATGATGACATATTATTCAGTTTGGACTTCTTTTGCTATTGTATTTGTCTCCTCCTTTCCAAACTCTTTTGAAGTTATTCATATTTATTTTGCTTGCTGTAATATAGTTTTATCAATAACAAAATTGAATTGAAAAGTGCCAGCAGATAGCATGCATAGCTATGGGGAAAACCAATAAACAATCAATAGGCAATCAATAGGTTGGGAGATTCATCATAGAAAAGGGTCGGATAATGATAGTTTCTTAAGTTGGAACCAGTCATTAATAATATTTCAAAATAATAAGTGGCCAATTTTGGTATGCAAGAATTGTTGGTGAAACCTCTTTGAACCCCATTTGTTGTTATTTTATAGGAAAGACAACAAATTATAAACAAGGGAGAAGCTTTACCAGGGAAAGAGGACACATATGAAAAAGATAGAAGCTGCATCATACCAGTGTAACCAAAAAGTTACTTTTTTATTGAGATCCTTCAAAATATCTAACCAATCTATCTGCTACCTACTACCACAAAATACTCAGTCTGTACCTTATTTTCTTTGAACATTATTATAACTTGTTGCCGAATGTTGTCTTTTGTATCTTTAATCAAGCTATGTCCTGTCGTTCTATTTGAGATGTCTATGTGGTTGATAACACCAAATATGAAAACAATAACCATATATTTGAGTTTATCATGAGGCGAGGTTTTTGTGGTTTCTTTTCATATGCTGTAACAAGCTTTTTCATATTTACAAAATACAAACAGATAAAGAGATATGTATGAAGATGATAAGGTTTACTTAAGACTTGAGAATTTTTATGGTTTTAAAAGCTTATTAAATACTAATAAAAAAATCTTATTAAATACTTTGCAATGGATTCATACGTTTGGTTCCATCTCAGTAATCTTGCTCTATCTGCTTATATATTTTGTCTAGGTATTAATATTTCATATTCATTTCTGTGATGAACAGATTGTTTACATGGCAATTGTTGGATCTTTCCCATTCAATTCTTTCCTTTCAGGAGTCCTTTCTTGTGTGGGGACAGCAGTCCTAGCTGGTAAGGATGTAGTTTGTTATATTTTTCTTGAAGTAGATGCATATTTAAGTGGAGGTTGACAAGGTTGGTTTATTTTGCTGCAGTTTGCCTTCGCATTCAGGTTAACAAAGAGAACAAGGAATTCAAGGTAAGCTTCCTTCTGTAAGTAGAATTGGTAACATACATGGTTCAAAGTAATCTGTCAGTGGTTAAAATATGGGTGATCATGAAAGTTGATACATATCATATGATATGCACCTATACGTTGTGATACTTTGAACCTTGGTAATATATCAATCCTGCAACCTAGTAGTTTATATAACATAACAATCAAACAAATAAAACCTAGTAGTTGACATTGCTTCCGCAACTGCAGGACTTGCCACCAGAACGTGCATTTGCCGACTTTGTGCTCTGCAATTTGGTGCTCCATTTGGTGATCATGAATTTCATTGGATAGGTTGCATTGCTGAACATTGTAGTTTAGTTACATTAAATTTTGACGATGGGTGGATATGCATATGCTGTTATACTTTGGATCACCAGATTTAGCCTTCTGTTGGAAGTTGGAACTATTAATCTCTTCCAAAACCATATAGAAAAGTTCGAATTGACAATCTTCAATTCCGCATGGAATTCTCTCTCTCTCTGATCTAGTCAATTGAATAGTTTTCTTTTTGGGGGAAAATTTCCGATAGGTACCTTGAACTTTAGGCTGAGTGCCAATTTAGTACCTGAACTTTAAAATGCGACAATTTAGTATCCAAACTTTTATTTTGCGACAATCTAGTATCCAAACTTTTATTTTGCGACAATCTAGTACCGTACCTTTCGTTAATGGATCGTCAGTTATGTATATCACGTGACCTCATGTGATTTAAGATTTTTAAAATTGTCAAAATTACCATTGGACACTGTTCATCATCTTCTTTCTCAAGAAAATGAAGATCAGGTTCTAGGAACCCAAATCTCTTGATGGAGGTGAAGTCTTCATCTACCACCTTATCGTGTGCGATTAACTGGTTATCTAGGGTTTCCTTCTCGATATCCCAAATAGTGCAAGTGGTGTTGATGCTCGAAGTCCTGATTCGCTTCGGCTCGGCTTCGTTTCAGTCAAAGGGGGTGAGGGAGTCGCAGAACTCGCTGTTTTTGTTGTTGTTGAGGAGGCTCTTGAGCTTGATCCGATCATCAAAAATGCGCCATACATGAAGAAAGTCACCGGAGGTGGTGAGGAGGTTGGGCTTTTGGCACTCCTTGTCAGGGATGAAAATGGTCTTGGTGGGTGGGTAAGGGTGTTCGAACGAGAGATTTGGGTATGAGCAAATTTCGTCGGTGGAATCGTCGAGTTGGACGATTTCAACCCGATTCTGATACTGCACAAGGAGGCTAGCGATGGCGAGTCTGTACTTGTCGCGGTGGACGCTCCAGTTCATGGCGTAGATGTGCCATGGAGCCTCGTAAGTGTAAATCTTGGAGAGCTTTTGCAGCTCCTCTGACCCATCCTTGTTTTTGCTTTTTCTTCCGGTTCCAGTGAGTCGTAATGAAGTCTCTCAAACTCTTCTTCAGCCTCAGTCGTGAAGAGTAAGCAGAAATGGGAGATCAGAGATTTGTATCAAGAGAGGGATTGATGGATATTTATTCCTCACAGATTCCAGATGGCGCCCTCATTGAAAATATCTCCTGTACATTGATGGGAAGCTGCAAAATGTAGTGTGAAATGGATGTGAGACCAGAGACGCGCTCTATGAGTATGGCCGGATGGGAAACAAATTCGATTTCATCTCGGAAAGTTGGAAAGTTGAAACTCTTTCTCTGCAGTCTGGAGCAGGGGAGCTCTTAGAGTTCAACTGCCATTGGCAAATGGCATTGGGAAAGAGAGATTAATATTAGGGATATAGATCTGCACTTTGCACTACATTCCGAGAGTGATATTACCACCACGTTGCTACTTACCATTTAAGCCTAACGTACAACCTAAGGGGCAAAGGCAACTGGCAAGTGGCAACCCAACCATTTTCACTCTGTGTGGATGTGGCAACCGTCTTTCGTCTCTGTTGTGGATAAGAAGAGGGAGGAGAGCGGGTGATATTTTTCTGGTGTTCTTCGTCTTCTTCTTCTGATGTTCTTTCGTTGATATAATTTCAAAAACAACCTAGTACGAAAATATACAATCTTTTCAGTTTTCACTTCTCCTCTCTTCCTTTTCTTCTTCTGATATTTTTCTGGTGTTCTTCGTTGATTTGTTTTTGGTTTATTTGACTTTTTCTGGTGTTCTTTGTCTTCTCCGGCAATGGCACTGGATTCTTTGATTTCAACTTTTTTGGCATCATGTTCGAGTGTCGATTTCAACTTTTCTGGCGGCGCATTCGCTTGACATCACCTGCGTGAGGGAGCTGGTTTTTGGAATCTCAATAACTGCAAGTGTGAACAGTGGTTCCCACTTGCATTACTTGAAATAACTGAGAGGTATTTAGGTCTTTTTGTCTTCTAATTGATGGTGAACCAAAAAAATCAGAAATTCCAGCCATGAAAGTGTCTTCAACATAACTACCCCTTCACATTCTTAAAACAACAAGAAACCTAAACCTAGAATTTTCAATAGTAAGAAAGCTTCTAAAACCAACAATCTTCGCATTCTTGAATTAACATGAATCCAGAATCTGAAAATTTCAGCAATGAGAAAGCTTTTAAAAACAACATTTTTATGCTCTTGAATCAACCTAGAATTTTTAGACATAAACACACTTCCAAACCCAAAATTTTCAAGTATTTGAAGCTAAACGAACCCAAAACACATAGATTTCAGCAATGTAATGGTTTTGAAAAATTTTCATTTTCCACATTTCAAGATCAAAGGGAAAACATAACCAAAAAATCTTAAGCATAAACACACTTCCAAACCCAGAATTTTCAAGCACTTTTTTTTATTAGAAACGATAACTTTCATTAGAGATAAATTAACCTGAAATACAGAATTCAACCCTCATTAGAAAAGGTTAATCCAATAAACATCAAACATTACAGCACTGCCCAAAAAAGACTCTCCCTTACAGTCCCTTGTTTTGCTAGGGCGTCAGCAAAACCATTTGCTGATCTCCTTACTCAGTTGAATCAAACACCCACCTCCCTTGTTATGCTAAGAATTTTCCTTATCAACTGCCTATATTGCCAAATTCCCAGCTGCCTTGATTGCATCCACCCAATTACCAATTGGACTCTCCTTCTATCTCAATCTGCTGTAACCCCAACTATTTGGCCAGTTTTACACCTTGATGTAGTGTCAAGATTTCTGCTCTTAAGGAATCTCCAACTCTTATGGGACCTGAAAACAAAGCCATTATCTCTGAAAACACTTCCTATACTAGATGGGCCTGGATTACTTATAGAGCTTCTATCAAAATTCAATTTCACCCTTTGTGGTGCCAATGGGGACCAAATTTCCTGTATCATAGCTTTGGAAGTAGCAATAGATGCCACAATACCCCAACTTCTATAAATGTCTTCAATTGAGAAATCCTTAAAAAGATCACAGGATTTCAACCAATGGATAACCTTAGTAGTTATTCCTTCCACAACCTCTTCCTTGGATCTACAWCTGCYTTTRAAGATCCTATTGTTTCTTTCCTCCCACACTGACCACAATACAACAAGTCTAGTGGCTCTCCACATAATCCTTCTACGAACTGTTGGTTGCCTGTATAAAGTTGGATCAAAGAGGTTCACCACACTTGAGGAGGGAGTCCACCTGYAGCCAAAGAGAGAAGAGAACCAAGACCAAATAAAGAGCACAAAGAGACATGGGATTAGTAAATGTGAAATTGTCTCACCAAAACCCAAACAGAGGCAACAAACATGGGGGGAGAGGCACATATTTGGCYTCTTTTTCTGCAATAAATCCAAGGTGTTGATTTTTTGGAGTACCACTTCCCAACAAAAGGCCTGAATTTTAGGGGGTACAGGGCTACCCTACACCTCCTTTGAAGGAAGTTCCCTACAAGGTTAGAGGTCTGAAGCAAAATATTATAGAAAGAAGAGCAATTGAAAAAACTAGAAGGGGAAGGTTTTCAAATTCTGCTATCTCTACAGGACTAATCAAGAAAGACTTCCCCTAACTGAGTGATCAAATCATCAACCATCCCCATTTCAGAATCCCTTAAACCTTTTCTCAAGTCCAAATCCCAGGAGTTATCAACAAACACTGAAGATATCACTTTTCTTTTGTTTTCAGACAATGAGTAAATAGAAAGAAATCTATCTCTAAGAGAGTTTTCACCAATCCAAACATCTTCCCAAAACAAGACTTTATTTCCAACGCAGACATCATATTTGAAATAAGGAAGCATAAGAAGCAAAATACCTTGAATAGCTTTCCAAGGAGAACATTGAGAAGCCCCAAGGTCGAGTTCTGCATCCCAGCCGTTATCTGCCAATCCATGAATACTAACAATCACTCTADACCAAAGTCTRHCCTRTTCCATCGGTAGTCTCCAAATCCATTTCCCCAGCAAAGCCATGTTTCTTAATCTTATATTTCCTAACCCAAGGCCTTCATCATCCCTACTCTTAGAAACCACCTCCCACTTCACTAAGTGATCATTCTTAGTATCCCTTGGTTCCCATAAGAAATCCCTCATTATCTTCTCTAATTGGTTAGGTACTTTCATTGGTACTCTAAAGGTAGACAGGAAATAAACTGGCAGATTGGCTATGGTTGACTTGATTAAGGTTATCCTACCCCCTAAAGAGATGTAATTCCTCTTCCAATTTGCTAACCTCTTAGAGAATCTTTCAATTACAAGGTACCAAAAACTCTCAACCATTGGCTTCCCTCCCAGTGGTAGCCCCAAATATTGTAAAGGCCATCCCTCCACTTCACACCCCAAAATCCTAGCTAGGGAATCCACCTCCTCTCCCCCTAGATTGAGCCCTGCCACACAACTTTTTCCCTAGCTCACTTTAAGATTGGACTTCCTTTCAAATTGAAGCACTAGACTCTTTAAGTTCCTTAATTCTCCTTCCTCCCTGTCACAAAACAAGATGATGTCATCTGCAAATTGTAAGTGTGACCACTACCTCCTCCCTACCAATCCTCCAACCTCTTATCAAATTGCTAGCATCGGCCCTCGAAATCATGGCACTCAACACATCAACTACTAGGGTAAAGAGGAATGGGGATAATGGATCTCCTTTCCTAATACCCCTCTTTGTAGGAAAGAAACCCCTAGGTACACCATTCACCAATATTGAGAAATGACATGAAGAAATGCATCCCTTTACCCAACTACACCATCTCTCCCCAAACCTTCTCCGTTTGAGAACCTCTAGTAAAAAATCTCAGTCCACCATGTCATAAGCCTTTTCAAGATCCAATTTGCAAACCAACCCCTTTTCCTTTCTCCTCCTCTTCACCTTAACACATTCATTGGCAATAAGTATGTGATCTACAATTTGTCTTCCTTCTACAAAGGCCCCTTGATACGATGAGATTAGAGATGGGAAGATCTTTTTTAATCTTAGTGCTAGGACCTTAGAGATAATCTTATACATGCTTCCCACCAGGCTTATAGGTCTGAAATCCTTTGGTTGGAGAGCATCATTCTTCTTAGGAACCAAGGCAATAAAAGTTGCATTTGCTCCCAAGTTAA